CTTTGGCTTCCTACGCAGCGCAAGTTTATTTTAGCCGAGCGCCACGCCCCCTCTAACGCCCACAATCGCCCACTAACGATTTTAAAATGGGTCCTGCGCCCACATCTTTAAAGATTTCCGAGAAGTATAAATGCAATTTTGCTGTGTATATTTATACCTATCGAAATGTAGAAGACATTTTTCAAATCGGACCATTCATTAAAAAGTTATACGCAATCAAAAATGATATATCTATCTCCCTCGCACTCCCTTTAGCTGAGTTACGATTATTAGTCGGGACACCAACCCGACACAGCGTTCGCACTCCCTTTAGCTGAGTGACGGGTATTAGATAGTCGGGACAACAACCCGACTATAGCGTTCTCTCTTGTTTCACCTCAACTTTGCGATTTTTCCTTCGGTCTGTAGAATATTTCACGGCTCACTTTAAACCAAGTTTTTTGTATGTTAGCGCATACAGGGTACATTCACTTTTCTGAACTTATTCCCGGACGAGCCCCCATTAAATTTGTGGGATGGTACAAATTTCAGTTTATTTGGGAAAGTAACAGAATGTTTTTTCAAAAACTTAAATGAATGAATGTTTCTTGATTTGACTTATTTAATTTCACAAAACCGACTTCTTTTCGGAACGCACTGGACAACCTCTTTTCTGCTCGACTCGCTGAATTCTTATATTCGCGTCGCTTCTTTTGCTCGATGCTTTTTTAAAATAATGTACTCGATTCTCTTTAATGTACTCGATTAATATTTTATAGTATTGGATAACAAATAATAATAAGAGCGCAATTCAAAATCAAATTAAGGTACTGGGCCTAAACCGTTGATGTCGCTGTTAATCTTACGCTGCAAGGGTGATACACTTATACTAAATTCCCCAATCCTACATATATGTACATGAGTAACCGCTACGGAAGTTCTGTGTGAATTTCATGTTTATACCCGTTACTCGTAGAGTAAACGGATATATTGTATACGGGCAAAAGTATGTAACAGCTAGAAGGAATCATTTTCGACCCTATAAAGTATATTCATTCCTGATCAGGGTAACTAGCCGAGTCGATCTAGCCGAGTCCGTCTGTCTGTCACACATATTTTTGGGCTTGCTACGCAGCGCAAGTTTGTTTCAGCCGAGCGCACGCCCACAATCGCCTTAAACGAGGCGCCCACGCCTTTAAAGATTTCGGAAAAGTAAAAATGCAGTTTTATTGTGTTTATCAATACCTCTTAAAAAGTTGTGCACGATCAAAGTTTTATATCTCCATCTCCCTCGCACTCCCATTAGCTGAATAAGGGGTATCTGATAGTCGGGGCAGCCGAGAGTGAGATTCGACGAGTTTGTCACATTACCCTACACTCCCCTATTATTTTCGTTCTATAGGTAGCTTGACTAACTTAAAAATTAACAATACTTAGGAGTAGACAAAAAAAACTAAAATCTGTTTTATTGCCCCTATCCTTGCCTCATAGCTATAGCTTAATATAAACCAATCTGAATTGTAACAAAAAATGTTAAGACTTTCTCGGCTCGTGATCTCGATCAAGAATATAGTGTCGGAAACGGTTTCTTCTACTTGCCACACACTTCTCTCCGAATAGAATTTAATCAACGAGTAATAGGTATTATAAAACGCAGACAAATTAAATTAAACATATACAATTTAAGTTATTTCAGTGCACCGAACGGCAAACAATTATCAATAGAAAGTAAATCAATTGCTTCTTCACGCCACTCGCCAGATAGCCAGCCAAGGGATAAACAAGGATTCGCACTCCAATCCGAGCTCTGGGATCTTGTCTTGTCATGCAATTATCGAGTTTTAATGAATTTTCGCGCACAGTCAGAGGCAAGAACCATTACAGGACTCCCGCAGATAAACGCAAAAGGAAGCGAGGAAGTTGCCAACTAATTACCCCACGACACTTGGCTCACAAAAAGCCGGCGACCAGCAAATGCTCGAGTTAATTGCATTGCCAATGATGCGGCAAAAGCGTTTTGACGACCGAAAGGCCATTAAGTCATTAGGACGCTCAAAATGTCATTAAAGAGCGGGCCAACACGCATATAAACTGAGAAAATCCCAGCTACAAATTATTTGCTAGGGGTCACCAGTTTCGATTCAAATATTTGGTTAACACAATTCATGCTGAGGAAAGAATAGAGGTGGCACAAAGTTCCCGACGACGTCTCCCCTTTCGGTTGTAATTAGGGCATATTATTCGCCTTGAATTGCAAATGGCATTAGCCGGCATTTGCTGCTGGCCAAAGTTTACCGCAGCTGTCGGGTTGTTTGCCCAAAATGCTTAACGAGCCGGGTCAGTGGGCAAATCAGAAGTGCCAGATGAAAATTCCCGCTGCAAATTAAATAACTGTCTAATTGCTTGCCATTGGCAGCGGCAGAATAAAATGCGCACAGGGGGCAGTCGCCGAGTGAAAACCCAAACACAACTGACACGACCCAGCAATAAATCTCAATTGATCCCCCAGGTGCAGTGGCAGTTTGGTCAATTAAAGCTTCCCCGATGGATCCCCCGCTCGAAGCCATCCCTCGCATCCGTTGGCTGCGGTCAGAGGTCAGTGCAGGAATAACCGGTGGAGAGCGAGTGGAACGTGTGGCAAATACGTTAAGTGGCAGCAAGGACCCACAACAATGGCCGATCAATTGCCGCAGCCAGGGAAAACAGCTCCCCGTGTGGGGGATGGCTGACTTTTCATACAAAACAAGAGAGTGCTGTAGTCGAAAACCCGTTACTCAGCTAAATGAGTGTGAAAGAAATGGACATATGCAAGCAGCAAAGCACTCAGAATAAAACAAACTTGGGCATCGCAGGAATCCTAAGAATCTGCATGATTAATCCCAACCTTCTAGCTTTAATAGTTTCCGAGATCTCAGCGTTCATACTTTATATAGTCCAAAACAATTCCTTCTACCTGTAACCTTTTACTCTACGCGTAACGGGTATAAAAACACTTTTCCAGGAGTCAAATCTACTCAATTCGAATTTCAACTCTTCCGTTTTTGTTTTGCTTATATTAATATCAAGATTAATTTATTCTTCAACCAATGAATCCCAAGAAATTAAAGTAATTGTTTAATTTGTTTCTGTGTACTCAAATATTTCTTAGCTTATTCTGTAAAGGTTCTGCTAGCCGAGGAAACCAAAATTGTACTTAATTTGCACCCACTAAAGTAGGTTAGTTGTTAAGCTATTTAGTTGCACACAAAGAAAAAACTTGGTAAAATCAACTGTAATAATTGTCAAACAGGCCCCAACCAGCAAAATTGTCAATTCTACTAAGTAAATAGTCATTTCACAACAACAAAATACACACAATTAGCAAAGACACAAACCCAAAGCAAAAACAAAATACACGTAACTATTTTAATAGTTACGTAACTATCTTTGTTGGTCAATTTTACCAAGCAAATTTGTTTGTGTGTATGGAAATTTTTTAAAATATTGAAAAGTAGCTCTTGGACTTTATGAAAGCAGTTTTAATTAAAGCCCAACAAGAAGCCAGGCAGATAAAGCAATTGAATGAAAACGGCAGGGAACAGACCCACGGCAACATGGAATTTGGACATAAATGCTCCAATGGGCCATTTGCCGTGGAGCAATGGTTATGGCGAGAATAAAACCCAGCCAGTGCAAATAATATTGTGGCCAACTCCCGGGCTCGAACAAGTTCCGGGCACTCGCCAACGGCCAGTGGGCAATGGCAGGACGAACTTTGGCCAGTAAACAGCATTAAGTAACCTCACGCACAGCGGGGTGAGTGTGTGTTATTGTAGCAACTGCCGTCGGTGTGTCCTTGTCGTCGCAGTGTAATTGCCCTGGATGACTTGCCCCCTCATGCTCCTTTTGTCCAGGCCAACTGGCATTGACAAGCTCCATAATGGCCATCGACCGCAACATCTGGTTTATGTTGCCAGTTTGCGCTGGCTTCGGTTCGGTTGGAGTCGCAGCAACTTGGCTTCCACGCATTGATTTCCAGGTACACACTGCCCCCTATCGAGCAGTCTAATTGAATATCCTTGGCATCCTCGCTGAGCCCCGGCTCAAACTCCGACCTACAGTCGGAACACGCTAGGTTGAACAGTTGGTAGTCTTCTGGTTGCCAAAGTCGGTTTTTAATTAATCGTTTATTGTAATTTCGGAATTTAAAATAAATATGGAGCAAAATTTTAAATAATACAATGATAAGATGACTTTTGATTATTTTAAAATACCTACTTAAATATTTCCCTGACCCTTCGTAACATGACTTTGGCACATAAAGAAGTACTACTGTAATGGGTCTGCGAATGACTGCTCTCCATATTTCAGTAAGCATAAGTTGCTTATCGCAGACGCCCATTGATATGCGCATGTGGGAATCCCTAGGATGCTGCTGCCAAACCCTTATCACTGGGACCAGACGAATAAAGGAGGGGGAAACACCGGCGAGATCCCGGAAAATGCCTTGAAAACTGCTCTGCATGCATATCCTGCGACCCCTTCTCCGGCCAACTGCATCTACTTAGCATAATTTGTTGCCCCTTTCTTGTCTTCGTTTACAGAGTTTGGAGTTGTGGATCCTGGGAGTCGGGCGTTTCTGCCTGTCAAGGACCCAAGTTGCGCTGCCAGTTTGTCTAGACAAAGACAATGTCTGCATACAAAGATTATGTTTTGATGAGGCGTTTAGTGGATAGTCAATTTGTAAGTTTTGTAGTTTTTAGCATTTAAATGGCAAACCATTTAGAATTTTAAAAAAATGTGTATATATTTTTAATTATTTTTTGACTAAATTGAGAAAAATTTAATGTGAAGAGATATTATAAGAGAAAAACTAATTTTACAAAATAAAAACTCAACTCAAAACTAAAACTCGCGCCAACTTTTAAATATTTTTGTGTTTTACAGCACTAAAAAGATTGCGTATAGTTGACAACCCCACTCATCAGCTGTTTTGAGTTTGTGTAAAGAAAAAATATTTAGCGTTAACTTAATAAGAATAAAGAACTTTAATATTAATACTCATCAAACATAAAAATTAAGCCTGTTCAGTTTGTAATTACCAAGATCGCGATTATAGCATATAATAACAGTTTTCCAACCATGGTAAGGCTTCGCCCGTCACCGGTTGCTCTTAAACTGTAGTGCATGTGTTTACCTTCCAGTTGGAATTCAATGACTTCAAAACTGTCAGCCCCGATGATTTGACCGCCGCGCTGGCTTTTCAAATTTACAAAGACTTGAAAAATGGTAAATCAAATAAATTACATAAATAATTTTATGTGATTAATATAGATGTATTCTCTACAAGAACAAGGCGCCGATTTCACACCAATCTACGATGAAGACCTGGAAGTATTTTATTTAATGAAGAAAGATAGAGCGTATGTTCCTGTTCTTCACACAAAGGAAATTGACTTTCAAATTCTGGAAACATTGCAGAAAAAATTGAACAAAACGTGAGTTTTAAATATCCCCAATATAAGTTTTAATGGCTCATCCAGTTTATCCCTATTCAGCGATATATTTCTGGCTATCGTGGACAATACAGCCAATATTTTGTACTATCAAATTTGCGAAGGTCTCAGCGAGAAACCAGTTACCAAAAACACCATTTAAATTATAGCGATAGATACATTTATTCAAAATCATATCATAAATATAAGTTACAGTCACAAATTGAAGCTAAACAAAGTGACTGGACGCGGACCAATCCAATTTGACAGATTTAAAATGAAATCAATTATAGCCGCAAGCTGTGGGCACAATCGTAATAAAAATGACAATAGAAGATCTGCATTGTTTATGTATACTCGTTTCGATTCGCATGAGGGGTGCACAATCGTTATCATAATTGTAATTATCAGTAATTATCTTCACATAATGATAGCTTAGACTACGTTTCAAATATCGATTATTACAAGCTTAAATAAAACTATAAAATTACATTAAATATACCATAGATCTGAAGAGTACAACAATTCGATCGTATGCCAACTGCCGACGGGATCTCGAATCTCATCCCGCCGAGCGGTATTTCGTTTTTTGATACTTTCATCTCTTTTAAAGCGTACCGCGCATACAAACAAATTGTTTGTAATCGTCCATCTAACGTCGAATAAAAATGCTCAAAGCAATACAGTTTCTTGTATAATAGGTATAATAATAATAAATAACAAATGTTCGCGTGTGTAAATGACGTAAAAAATATGTTAAAATTATAACACAACTCGGGCAATGGGCTGGGGAGTTGATAAAAGCGCAAGGCAATTTACAGAGCTTACATGTTAAAACTGTAAATATATTACTTTTCTCTCACTTTACTAGATTAATATGTCGTATAGCAGATGAGCTCGTTTAGCAAGACGATTCCTGGGATGTGCATGCAATATATGTATAAAATATATCCTTTGTTCTTGTATGTCGGTTATGAAAATATGTTGCAATGATTGCTCTGGGGTGTAAACATACCTCTCATCAATAAAATCTATTTAGATCCGGTCCTTACAAAAAACTGTCCAAAACTACAACTTTGCGTTTAAGGCTTTCCTAGGGTTTGTCAGACTATTCAATGCGTTCTCGTATTAGGAAAAGGATACAAATCAATTTGCTGTACAATGCCACGAATATGTTGGATGATCCCTAGTGGGCAACTGTGATCTAAACTGGCTGGATGGATGTGGTCAACTAGGTAATTTAGTTTAGGTTTGTCTTTCGACCAGTGAGCAACACTCAAAAGTTCTCTCAATAATAGATAGATTTATAGTCTACAAATATATATGTCCTGTATCTGCACGATCATTATGTCTTCATATATAAATATTGAACTCACATCGACTAAACCAACTAAAATTACTCGAAACCAACTTCGTACACAAGTAAAAGCAAAAGACAAGGGCCACAACAATCGGGCTAGGCCCATTGGTGGACCCTTGAACTAACAACAAGTTTCTAACACCATTCGGCCGTGTATGAAAAGTCCTGGAAGAGCACCTGCTCGTCCTCGGACAGGTGGCGCGGCTCCTTCGGCGGCGTTAGCTGTGCCTTCTCCGATGTGAACTCCTCGTCAAAGTTCGACACGTCCTCCAAGTGGTTCTACAAGTACACAATGTTAGTATATAGAATTTAAACTCGGTACTTAAACGTACAATGGTGGGCACGAAGGGTGGTTTGACCTTTCGCAGGAGCAGATCATCCCACACTATCGAACGGAAGAATGCCTGCTTCTTAACATCCTCCGCATCGCGCTCCGAGGATCCCAGACGCCTCTCTGGATTCTTACGCAGCAGCTGCAAGACAATTTAAAATGTAGTTTTTATATTTTGTTTCGCAATCATTTAGCTTACCCTGCGCATCACGGCTATGGCCTCGAGAGAGAGGAAGCGCGGATAGCGCACCTCATCGTTGACAATTGAATCGAACACCTCTTCCTCATCATCGCCAGGGAATGGAGACTAAAAGAAATGATTCCGTTATGCTTTAACCTTTAAAAGGTTGTTATTTGCCTGCGACTTACCTCCCCAACCAACATCTCAAAGATCAACACACCTAGACCCCACCAATCGACGGCTCTCGTGTAAGAAGTTTCCGTGAGTACTTCGGGTGCCAAAAACTCAGGTGTGCCACAGAAAGTGCCCGTGCGGTCGCCAAAGCCCATGCCCTCCTTGCACAGGCCAAAGTCTGCAATCTTCACATAGCCGTCCGTGTCCAACAACAGGTTGTCCAGCTTCAGATCCCGATAGATGATCTTGTTCTCGTGCAGATACTGCAGTCCCAGGACCACGCAGGCAGCGTAGAAAACGGCTCTCGGTTCCAGGAATACGTCCGTGTGGATGTGCATCATCAAATCTCCGCCGGCGGCGTACTCCATTACAAAGCATACGTGTTGCTGGGGTGAAAGCAACAAGGAGGGATTAGTAAACGCTCGATAGTGTGCTAATACTTCCATCCATTGACTTACCTCAGTCTGGAAGCACGAATACAAGTTGACCAAGAAGGGATGACGCATAGCGTTGGCCACCTCGAAGATGCGCTTCTCGCTGAGCAGCGACTCTACCTCGTCGCGGGCGATGATGTCGCCCTTCTTCAGCGCCTTGATGGCGTAGTACTGGTTGTTGCTTCGCAGCTGCGACAGAATAACCTTGCCAAAGTGCCCGCGTCCCAGGACGCTGAGCAAGCGGAAGTTGTCCATCGACAGCATGCCGGCATTGGGAGGCTGCTTCCCAGCTCTGCCGGCCTCTAGTCCTCCGGACTCACGATACTGCAGGCCACGGGCCACGTTTCTCCGCTGCTGCTGCTGCTGTTGTTGCTGATTGGAGTGGCTGTTGGTGGAGGAGCTGGGTGAGTAAACTGAAGCCGCTGCCGCCGCCTTGGCCACATTCAGCTCATACTGGTTGGCATAGATGGGCTGCTGCTGCGGTGGCTGCTTCTCCTGCCTTTGGGCGGGCTGCGGGAATTGCGGAGCACCGGCGGCCGCGCTGCTTCCGTAGATGGTCGGAGTAGGTGGCTCCTGGATGATGGGTGAAGACTGCTGCACATACTGCTGCTGGTTGCCGCCAACATAGAGCTTGCCCAACTGCGGTATGACCTAAGGCACACAAGAGAAGAAACTTTAGTCCATGTAGACGGTAAAGAATGGGGGAGAAACATGTATTAGTGGCTACAACTTGAGAGCTTGGTGGACCCTTTCGCTTAATTTCCTGCGTTACCTGCTGGACTTGGTCCTCTGTTTCTAACTTTTCAACTGTCTCGAGGAGAATACTTTCAACACAAGCTTCGGATACTTTTTTTGACTGCGCCTCTGCCACCGGCTTAACCTCCGGCTGCGAATCCGGCTCGGCCACTTCCTCGATCAGGCAACTGGTCGTCCGGCTGGCATTGATCGGTTCGAGGGTAATATGTACAAGACTAATGCGGGCCTGCAAGAGGATGGTTCTTCATAGTTTGGTTGATTGATTGGGGGATTTGATTGAACCCAAGAAACACACATACAGCAGGTGGTTGTGGAGGATTGGACAGTAACAGTTGGTTGATGGCTCGCGATGGGGACAAACCGAGGTAATGAAACTGATTATGGGTGTGCTGTTGGTGCTGGAGTTGGACCGCAAACATCTGCCTCAAGACTTGGCTGAGCGCATGGAAAGTTGGCACAATCATGACGTTCCTACATTTCGATCGATACCGATACGATACTTCGCGGGCGAGATGGCTAAAACCGCGCCGGCCAACTGAAGGCGAACAAGTGCCAAAGTCATGACCAGAGGCCAAGCATTTGCGTCGTTGTTTTGGGTCTAAAAATTACCATCGAAAAGGAAAATGTGACAACGGCGCACATAACGATGAGTACATAGCTTGGACACACACATAGACACAAAGGTAAGCGAACACAGGGACAAACATCTTGGATGAAAATGGAAATGTGCCACGCTGACGTTGCAACGTGAGGGGGCGGGAAATCGTCGGGTGGGTATAAGTGTGGGTGACAAAAATTAAAACATTTCCCGTCCATTGGCACGTGAAGTGGCGCACTTTCGGGTGCCTCTTCTGTGCCCCGTTCCCCTAAGAAATATCCTCGTTTCTTTCCTCTGATCTTTCCGTTGTCATTCGCCAGAAGCGAGTCTATTTAAAGAGTTTAAAATTGTCACTTTTAGCTTTCATTTCGATTCGATTATATTTGGCTGCCGTGTCTTAATCGAAAGTGTGTATTAAGTCAAAAAAATCGGGTTAAAATAATGCTCTCAAGTTGTTTGTCATAGATTAGAAAAATTGATTAAAAAACTTATCCTATATCGAACTAACAGTGCAAGTTACGTTTGTGACATATCTATTGGCTATTACATTATCTACATCAACTAAGCTATACGTGGTTGCAAATACAAATTGTTTACAGTGTTATTTAAACGGTTAGTCACATTCAAAGCTCAACTCTTAGTTAGTTCTATTACGACTATATTAGTTCTTTGGGGTGCTCGTGAATGCGCCTTGATTACAGTGCGTATGTGTGTGTTTATGAATCAAATGTTTGTACACAATTTTTGGGGCTTCGAAGGGTTTTATTGTTGGATAAAGCCAAACCAGAAACACACACACAGACATTTAAAGAAGAAACAATTAACCCAACTCGTGGCAAGAACAAAACAAGAGATGTGAGAAAAATAAAAGAAAGTAGGGTTAGTCAAAAAATAATTAAAAAGAAAATAAATCAGAATTGAAGAACAGAGATAAACCAGAAACCAAACCGGGAAATGAAAAACCTCCTAACCTCCACACAGAATCGATCGCCGGCACTGGAACTATGGGTGGAGTGCAGCCGGCTGCCCAGGTTATCGTTGCTGCCCCGGTACAGATACTCATCATCGTCCTCGGGATACTCAACTAGTGGCGATGGTGGCACCGATCGGTCCTCCTCCCGGCCACCCAGGAGCACCACGGGTGGCAGGATCAGCACCGGGCGGTGCAGCTGCTGTTCCACTGCGGACGGTGGTTCGGGAATAGTCTGTTTCTGGGCAGGAAGTGGCTGCTGCTGCTGCTGCAACTGAAATTGGTTGTGGCTTGGGCTTTGGCTTTGGCTGTGGCTTTGGCTAGGGCGGGCGTTTGAGCTTGGCATGATCGGATTATGGCTGGCAAGCGGCGGCAACGGCGGCGTTGGGTGGACAAGGGTGGCGGATGGCTGCTGCTCCTCGGGCTCTCTCTGCTTCTCGCACAGATCCAGGATCGCCTGACGCTGCGCCTCCTGGAACTGCTGCAGACGCAGCTGCTCCTGGCGCTGGCGCTGCTGCAGTGCCTGCTGCTCGCTCTGCTGCTGCTGCAGGAGCAGGCTCTCCAGCGCACCAGGATCCAGCGCCATGCTCTGCTCCTTTAGCAGGCGACGCAGCGTGGTGGGACGCGAGTCCAGGTCCGAGAGGAAATCGAATTCGTGCAGGGCATCCTGCAGCTGTCGGCGATTAACGAAATCATGACGAAACGGAAACGGAAACGGAAACCGAGACGGGCACACAAACACACAGAGGCAGAGAGAAGGATGACGGCGGGCCACACACAAAAAGCGCAATGCAATGAAAGGACAAGCGAGGCCAGGAAAGTGCCTTACTCGCAGGGATAAGAAGATAAGTAGCAATAGAAATGCGAAAGGAAATGACGTTGATGGGGTAAATGCGGTGAAAATCAACGGCAGAGACGATGGCGTAAACTAATTTCCGGTAATTTTATAGCAAGGTTTCCAAAAGACCTTGCTCAGTAAATCGGTTTTTTTTTTATTTTAACCTGTTTGAACAGCTCCTTAAATGGTCATAATGCGAAACATACAAAATCTACTATTTAAAAAAAATGCAATATTTCAAATTCCAGCAGATAACAATTAAGGTGCATTTGAAGGCTTTACCTGCTATTCAAAAAAGTGTCTAATTTGTATTTGAAATATTAAAGTTTTTATAATTTACGAATTTTAAATTTGTTTTTAATGTTTTTTTTATACCATTGCAGAAGGTATTATAATTATGTAAAGTATATATATTCTTGGTCAGCAGCAATTCCCATCTAGCTATGTCTGTTTTTCCGGTTCTATGGAAACTAGTCTCTCAGTTTTCAAGCTATCGTTAAATATTGTCTTATCTGCAAGGGTATAAAATCTTTGGCTTGCCGAATTTAATTTTATTCCTTGTTTAGTATTTATTTACTGAATTTATTTGTAATTTTTATTTTTACAAATGACAAATTAAGAAGGCAAAGCTGGTTTAGGGAAATTTGCTAATTTTAAAATTACAATTTGGAAAAGTTTTCGGCCAGTTTTCGCGATCGATGATGGTTCTGTATGGAGTTCGGTCGCCGGTCCAAATGTACAGATTAGGGAGCTAAATATAATGCAATACCAACACCAAATGCCCAAATGTGATGACTGTAAAGATTGAGTGTGTGTGTGTGCGTGTGTGGGTGGTGAATAGATACATGAGAGAGTGGGCGGGGGAGCGGGTGGCAGGCACAACGATCAAACCAGCTACGGGTACACAGCTAAGTACATACGCAGATCTTTATACAGGGTTGGTCAAGTACTGACTATTGAACTGTACACGGATCGCATTGTCCAAGTGAATAAGCAACTTACCTCCTGATCCAGCACCGGAGTGGTGGACGTGGACTTGAGCACTGGTGGTGGTGGTGGCGCCGTGGTGGGGGCTGCACTGCGACCGCCCTGGATGCCCTGTCCCTTGCTGGCTCCCGGCATTTGTAGGCTAAGCGTATTCGGCCTTCCAGTGGCTCCTGCAGCAACGGGTGGCGAGTCCGGGGGCAATACACTGATCCCCTGCATGTGCATGGACAGGGGACGCATTCCACTCAGACCGCTGGCCGCGGGATCCGGATATTCGCCCGGCGTCTCTACGTGCTCGTGTATTCCTGCATCCGGATCGAACTCCAGGTTCTGTGCCTGTTCTCCTGGCGTGTACGGCTCCGGCTCCACAAGTGCATCGGAGGACGGAGTCCTCGAGATCGGCGACTCAGAGTCCCGGGACCCGCTGACTACCATGGAAGAGACACCTGTTACGGAAGATCCAGATCCCACCGATCCCATGTGCACGTGATTCGGAGCGTTCCGCTTGAGCAGGCGGCCCCAGGTGGCCACGTTGATGTTCATTTGCTTGGCCCGCGAGATGTTCTTCGCCTGCTGCCGGTTGAAGATCATTCGCTGGCGCCGCAGCTTCGGCTTCTGCGAGATCATGGGGTTCAAGAACTTGACCTCCGCAAAAAGTAGACCTTGCGGCTCCAACTGCAGCGCCATGCCATGTCGCACGTCGTCAATGAACTCTTCCAGGCGCAGCACCTTCACGGCGCACAGCGATCGCCAGTCGCGCCAGTAAACTCCAATCTCCAGTTCGCGGGAGCGGTCTAGATCGATGGAGAAACGCTGATCCCAGGCCTGCTGCGAACATGGCTTCCATGACGTCTGGCCCACGGTTATGTTGTCCAGCTTGATGGCTGCCATAATCTCGATGGAGGTCTCGTCCTTCACCGAATAGCTCTTCGAACTGCTGCGCGAGGTGACGCCCTTGACGAAGCTCCTCAAATCGCCCGGACTGGAGTTGTTGTCCTTGTCCCTTCGCGATCTGCCGGGCACATCTTCAAGCAGATCCTGGCAGCCCAGCAGGCGAACCTCTAGCTTTCCGGTGACACTGGCGCAGCGTCCCAGCGAGGACACCGACTGGTAGGGCTTTCCACCAAGAATCCCCCCCTGGCCGGCTTGCAGTGACGTGTAGGTGACGGGAGCTGGGGACGTCGACTGCTGCACGATCTGCAGCTCCGTTTTTAATAGCTGGGCGGCGGGCGAATCGACGGGCAGCTCCTGCCGACGTAGCTCCAAGGAGTAGCGCAAGAGATCTAATTTTCGAGACGATTCCGACAAACGTCCATGGGCCTGGATCAGAAATAAAAGTAGTTAATATTTTAAAATCTTAATGCAGATTTAATTAAATTTTCCTCCTGTGCACATTTGTAATATTTTATTACTCCTCCATTTAAACGCTTATAAAATACTAATGGAATAAATAAATAAATAAATGCTTAAAACCAATTAATTTCACCCACTAAAATTTCCCAATATAAAAACAAAAAAACCGCCGAAATAAAAGACAACTTGCCAATTAAATCTATTGTTTTACTTTATTACAACATTAAACTGATTCAGCGCACAATTTGTGTTTTGCGTGAGGAACATTCGCTTACATGGCTTACAGCTAATCGAAAGAAAGTTGGTTTTGGAGTTCGGATTTGGGGTTAGGGTTAATTGGGAGCGTATCAATCTCAAAAGCAATGTGTTAAATGCAAGCCTTAGACAAAGAACTATAAATCATTACTGCGGCCTCCTGATCAAAGGCTTCTCGCCCAAGGAGAAGGCTCTACCACGAAGCTGAAACCTCTCGGCCAGCCAACGTTGACAGCTTTCGCATTGGCAATTCGGATTCTTGGTGGGACCCACATGGTGGCCAGGCTTCCTCATAGCAACCACGTTGCCAAAGCGGCGAGCCTTCTCCAAGTGCTCGTGGGTGTAGCCGGAAACGGAAGTGGAAGCCTCACTGGCAAGGCTTGGACTGTCGCGTGAAATTTCAAAACGTCGCACCGGCAGTGGCGAAGGCGTCACTGTGGTCCCAAAAGTACTGGCCGAAGTGGTGCTGGGTGGCGCCTCACTGCCGCATCGCACCACTGTGGTTGCCGCCGACAAGAGTTGGGGGGAACTGCGCTCGGAGGAGGGCGATCCCGAGGCCACCTGCACGCTCAGGTTATCGCGTGCTTCGCTCTTCCAACGGAAGCTCGGATGGAGAAGGCGGAACGGATCCGTAGTGGCGGCCGCAGCGGGTTGAACCGGTGCAGTGGCAGGCGGAGTGGGTTGACCAACACCGACTGGTCCGCCAGTCGGCCCGAAGAACTGAAGAAAACCAGGGCGATTACGCGGGAAATGCGAGATCTGCTGCAACTGTGACTGCCTCCCCGGATAGGTATTGAATCCATTGGCATCGGAGAAGCCATCCGATTCCGATGGGATGGTATCGCTGCGCTGAAAGGAGCTGCGCTGCGACTGCACCTCCGTGATTGTTTGCAGGGGATGTGGCGATGGCGCTGGCATGTGACTCTGGTCCACAGAATGCTGACGGGACCAAAGACGCTCCATCTGGCTTATCCGCAGGCGATCGAGCGAGTTCTCATACTCAAAGCTATCGGATTTGGCCAAGCCAAAGGATAGGTCGTCTGTTTCCTTCCACGAGGAATCCACGCAATCCGTTCCGCCCATCACACTGGATATGCTGCTGCAGGTGGCATCCCTGGGCATCGTTGATCTTGAGGAGTTGGGGTAAGTGCTGCTGATGGTCTCGTCGCTGGGCTGACGCATGTACTTCTGGCGTAGATTAGCCAACTTGGCCGCCCGCTGATCGCCAATGTGTTTGCGGAATAGCAGCTGCTTGGACTCGCACACTTCCTCGGCTGTGCTGCATTTTGTAATGGCATGCCCCAGATTTAGATGATCTTCTCGATTGTTTTCCGCTTTGTTTTTTGCTTGATTATTGGCCAGTCGCCTGGGCATGACTCCTCCAGAGATTCTTTGGTGGCGCAGCAGCATCTGCTCATTATCCAACACGGTTTGCGGGGTTGAATTCGAGTCCAGTTCGTAGCGCTTGCTACCGGCCAGGTCGGAATCGGAGGAGCTAGAGACCTCTTCATCGGCTTGCCTCTCATCATCCGCCTCCTCTTCCTCGTCTCCCTCTGAACCTGTGCAGTAGACATCGATATGAACAGTGCGAGGCTTCTTTTCCCCCAAGTTGGGTATTCTGGGTGCAGCTCCTTGGCCCAAGTTGCCAGCTAGTGGTGGTATCCTTGACATCGAAGCCGATTTGAATGTCGACGAGGGCGTCGTAGGCGTGGGCGAATAGGTTGGCTGAGGGTTTGATGGGTTAGAATGCGAACGTAATGATTAAGGAATTCAAGACCCACCACATAAGTGTTAGCCTCCTCCGCCTGCCGCTTGCTGGCAAAATTCATCAGCGCTTCGGTGGTGGCCCTTCGCTGCTCATAAGCTGGACGCCTCTTTGCTGGCTGCTCCTCCGTGTCACTTGTTTGCGAGAAGGCGTCCCGAAGCTGCTGGGCCCGCACTTTGCTGTGGTAAACAAAGGGCTCATTGACCGTCCCGGTTCCCGCCTCCTGGGGCAGGAAATCAGCCACTGCAGACACCATAATGTTGCAGGTGCTTCGACAGCGAGTGCCACACACCTGGGCAGTGGCTCCAGGAGGAGCAGCAGTGGTAGTTGCCACTGGGGGTTTGTTCAGAGCCCTAGAAGCATGTGGACTGCCAAAGGCCGAGTCCGCATTGGTGGTGGCCGAGGAGTTTGTGGAACGGAAGCTGGTTCCCGCAGTTGCTGCTGTCTGTAAGGGGTTGAACAAGTATTAATAAAGTTCACTAGCTCACTCGACACCACTTACCTTCTCCACATCCTGCTCTGTTTCCGGCTCATCGCAGGGCGTGCACCACTTGTAGACCACACGCATTGGATGCACCGCCTCCGGAGCACTAAACTCCTTTTGCACAGGCTCACCAGCTCGGGCAAAAGTGAGATGTGCTCGTACCGTCCACTCGGCGGTCAGTTCATGGGGCAGTGGAACCTCCTGGCCCAGAACCGCCCCCGCAGTGGGCGTGGGCGTGGGCGTGGTCATGACTCCCTACGCACTTGTTTTGCGCTCGCAGCATGAACACATTTTGGCTGTGGTAATGGTGTGGCTCAAGGTGCCATCCACATATTCATATAAATACACTCACGCACTATATACCACATAAATCTGTATATACGTCACACACGAACTTTATATTCTTGCTAAAAATACCGAGAAACCGTTTTGATAGTTCCTATTGTCGAACTGAACTAAAATGTTTATTGTAGGCCAACGGTTACGGTTGAAAGTGCCTGTGGAATCCTAACTATTTATTAGTAATTTTATATCAACAATTCGCGTAACATCCCCTATAGGTTGTTTATAATAATTTGGAACCTTTTCTTTGAATTTTTATATTTTAAACAAATTTAACGAATTCTTTTTAATGTTTGTATTGCACTGGATTTCACATTAAATTCTTTAAGACTCAAATAATTTTCCTTATAGCTCTGGACTTTTTACATTACTCCTGTCTTATTCGAATTAAATATTTTTTGGTTAGCCCAAACATTCTTCACAGGCAGTTTCCACCATATAAAATGGCTTTTTGTTTTCACGTATTTTTAGCTTCATTCAGCCAACGCACACACACTAAAAACGCGGGGGTTAAAAGACGGATGGGGTGGAACGAAAACACTTTCGGTTTTTCTTAGCTTTTGTAAAAATTGTGTTTCTAAATTTATGTGGTTTTATTTTTAACATTATTTCTTTTTCGTTACGCTAAAATTGCAAGATGACCCCAAAAGCCAAATCTCGGAAATCGAGAGAAGAACGGACAATATGAACGGAAAATTACGCAATTTCAGGTGGATAAGCGCAGAAAACCTGCAGCACACGCTGCGTATGCGTAATGTCGAAGAGCTAATGCCAGCTCAGACATTCGATTTGACTTATGTATACTATGTGTGTGCGTGCTTTTCTCGAGTTTACTTCGATTAGTTCATTATTTTTATTATTATTTCATTACACATTCATAGAGTTTTGAACACACAAGAAAACAAAGGAACACGAACGCGACGCGAGACGCGGCAATTAAAAAAATTATAAAATATCGGGAAACACCAGGCGGCGTTGCACGTAGCCAACGGCAATCCAACTCGCACTGAGCGGCAAGGAAAAGCTGCTTGGGAAAATTCGCTAGAGAAGCGAACATACATACACACTAACAACACGGCGGCTAACAACAAATATTCCCATATGGCCAGAGAACTTTGCGCTCCGTTTCTTATGATGGTTTTATACGTTTGTCGTTTTTGCCCGATCAAGCAGAGGCACAAACATATGTACATCCATAAGAATATCTAATGTTTGTGTGCCAGCGGGCAGCATAGTTCTAAAAATGTTTAGCAAAACGCTTCCAAATGGCCAAAAGGGCATCGGCAAAAGTTTTGTGTTTATTGTTTAGCTGATCGTATAATCAGTTAGGCGATATTTAGATGAACAGAAAAAAAAAACCTACGATGCATTCGCTATAAGTTCGTAAGAAAAATAGGTACATATTTGACTGCTATTTTAGGCTTTATATTGCAAAAAATATTAACATACTGGACTTTTATTTTAAAATGGATTAGCGGTAACCGTATCTTTGGCTCACTAAAACCACGAAATCTTTCAGTAGGTTCGTAAAACTTATTTTTCTTATGGTTCTGAAACGCACTGCTACTGAGAACTTTCTTATTTCTGCATCTGACAGATGCAACCGCAACGCAGAACAAATAAATATGAGAATGGGGCCTGCAAATAGAATATTTAGGCCACAGCCCGGACAACATATTGTTGTAGTAGCTGCTGCGGAAGTTAAGTGTCTGTTCGTATACGTTCATGTTGAATCCAAAGACAAAAACCGCATGAGCATCAGTGAAAAGATAAATCACAAAGAGAAAAAAGTGAGTTTGCCACGCGACAGGAAACGCAGACATTGGGAAACACAAAAAAAAATGAATATCTTCTCTTGCACATAAACTGGTAAATGCATTGTGAAATTTCGTGAAAATACGCTCGTTTTGCGTATATTTTGGGATCACTTTTCTGTCAACGATGCTATTAACTGAACAATTTCAAAATAAACTAAAAACGAATGCCAAAATTATTAGGGCAGGCCCTGAGCACACTTGCCAAATCATTTTTCTTACGCTCAAGTAATGGCGACGTTCCACGTCCATTTAATTAATGAGACGACAGTTAGCGGCAAAAAAGTCTCGAAATAAAAACGAAATCGGACAAACAGAGAGCGCTGAAAAATATTTCAAGCAGCCGCATAATTAGCTTTTCCTCCTTCCCGCTTCCCGTTTCACATGACGTTGCCACAAGTTGGGCAAAAATCACGTATACGCACGGGTATATCAAATATGAATCATACGTCGTGTGGCCATATGGCAGCAGACACACCTGATTTTAGCTAAACCGGGGAATACTTGCAGGGTACTATGTGGCCACCAGCCAGTTCTAATTAAGACTAGGATTAACCTAATTTCAGACTCTTTTAGAATAGTCGTTTTTAGTTTTTACCAGGTCCGGTTATAAAAAGGATTACCTACTATAAAATATTATTATAAAGAATTTCACTGCAAAACTTGTAAAGTAAAAAAATTTCTATATTCTCCTGTAGATTTCCCCACACGACTCCCGAAAATAAATACATTGGATATTCCATTTGGAAGATGAAATGTGTACAGGTTCAATCAAAATGTGCAGGGAAAACTTCCCAAAACAGAGACACAAATATGGGGACTCACCTCTTGCAGCGCCTTCTTGTCCGGTGCCCGATTCGCCGTCTGCAACGTGCGGATAACATTCTTGGCTCCATCGACGACGGCTGCTTCAATCCGCAGGCGATGACGCAGCTCCTCGATCCGCTCTTCAAGTGTCGTCTCCAGGCTCTGGGGCTGGCTGCTGTTGTTGCCACCAATCGTCTGTCCGTGCTCGTCGATCATCTGGCGCGAGGCCTTCAAGCGATCGGCCTGCTCGCGATTCTGTTTCACCTTGATGATGCGCAGTCGCAAGAACTCAATCTTGGCCTTCGAATCGGCCAACATCTGGTGAGCTTCCGCTAGCAGCTTTTTGTCGCATCCGATGCCCAGCGACTGGATCATGTTCTCCGCCCCGGTCTTCACCTTCATCTCGATCTGAAGCTGCTTCTCCAGCGAGGCGAGCACTTTGTCATTGGCGGTGGCCGGTACGCCACCATCGAGAGCCGTGCTTCCTCCTCCCAAACCGCCAACCGCTCCGCTGACCAAGAAACCGCCATTGGGATCGATGCAGGCCGTTATCGATTCTGCAAGAAATATATCGGAATTTTAGAAAAAAGTTTTTCAAACCCTTCGTAACACAGTGCAACACAGAAAATGTAACCGCAGTTTGGTTTTCAAAACCAGAAAGTACTCATTAAGCCGATTTAAACCACGTAAGGCTTAGCTCGCGATTTAAAGATTCTGTGTAAAAACGGATTTATAGATGGAATATATGGGCACATCCACCAAAAAGTCCACCAAGCCAAAAACCTTGAAACTTGAATAAAACATATTTCCGCATGATTTTGCCCCGATATTAGTTTCTAATTAGTTGGATCCTGAGCTTAACTACAAATTTGGAGAATAGTTTGACAAAGCCCACCAATATACGCAAAAATAAGTTTTTGTTATTTTTTGGACCCATCCTCAATTGTTTTTTTTTATCCATTAGGAATATGTGACATTTTTTTGTACTGAATGCTTCATTTACATGTTAAACTATTAAGTTAAAAACAAAACAGCCACTAATTGAGAAATAGAGGTAAAGAAATAAACTTTACAAATCGCCAAGAAAAAATGTCCCGAGCGACATGTCCCGAGCGAATGTCCCGAGCGAATGTGGTTGAAACTGCATAAAAAAAAAACGGCAAACCATTTTTGAGTAAAACCAAAACCATTTCACAGCGACATATTTGGACACCATTCTAAAAAAAATCGTATTCACATATTCCATCAGAATTCGCTAAATTCTAGTGTTAAATGAACTTCCCCGAAAATCACTTCTATTTTTGTCCCGAGCGACAGTTTTTTAACGATATCTTGAGAACTACAAGTGGTACAAAATCAAGATTTTTACACAAAATAGAGCTTAGGAAGAGTGAAAAGGAAAGCCCACAATTAAAATAAAAATCAATTTTTTCCAATTTTTTTCCACTTTAAAGGCGTGCAAATGTCCCGAGCGACCATATCGTAAGCCGATTCAAGTTTCAGGTACGCGTCCTCAACATTACTTCAGATAAAGACATTGAAAGGTGCAACAAGCTATTAAATTTGGTTTAAACAGTGAATATAAAACTGTAGACCCAATAATGTAAATAAAACATAGCAATTGGTATTAAAATACAATATATGGGAAATTCTCTGGAGATTTTAACCAAGTCCTTTTTTGGTATTTTTTAAAGTGGCTCTTTAACGGTTTTTATGACGTTAAGGTTACAGAAAAACCATCTAAGAAAATTACGGAAAAAACTGTCGCGTGCAACATGTAGCGTGTGACAGACACTTCGAAAACCAAATAAATTTTAAAGACAAAAGAACAAGGAACACTATGAAATTAACTGCATTAAAATATTCCTTCACGTTTCGTTACAATCAAAAGTTAAGCAGGAAGTCAAAAAATTCATTTTGGTTTTTGATATATCTTAAAAACGAAAAATGTCTCAAAGTCAGCTGTAGCACATATTTTAGTGCTAACCAAACCCTTTGAGCCTAGTGTCAAAGGAAAAGAAGTCCTGGAAGATGGTTTTTTTCACCGCAAAGGGTACGAACGTCGCGTGCGACAGCAGAGAATTGCCCATATGGGGTTTAAATCTTATTCCTACTTTCAGGTTTTGAAATCCAAAATGCAGGCACATTTCAAAACCATAAAAATGTTGCTAAGTGTTATATAATGCCATGTTTGGTTACAGATTAAACAATTTTTTCATAAAAAAAAACAAGGAACATATTTTAGTAAAGAGAATAAAATCAGAGCAATAAAAATGCTTCTTATGGACTAATTGCAATATTGACTGAAGGGCTTGAAGTTCTTTGATAAGAATAAAAATTTAACAATAAAAACTAAGAATTGTGTCAAGGGTAATTTCACAATTTGCTCCTGTCTATAAGAGTATTACTTTTGTAATATAATGTACACCTACACCTTCTGTCAATTGTTTTACAGATAATATGTGAACCAAAAAAAAAAATGATTTGAGCCATCTACTTTGTTAATCAATAAACTGCCAAATAAATAGCTCAAAACATGTTTTTATACCCGTTACTCGTAGAGTAAAAGGGTATACTAGATTCGTGCAAAAGTATGTAACAGCTAGAAGGAAGCGTTTCCGACCCCATAAAGTATATATATTCTTGATCAGGGTCACTAGCCGAGTCGATCTAGCCATGTCCATCGGACCATTCATTAAAAAGTTATACGCAATCAAAAATTATATATCTATCTCCCTCGCACTCCCTTTAGCTGAGTTACGATTATTAGTCGGGACACCAACCCAACACAGCGTTCGCACTCCCTTTAGCTGAGTGACAGGTATTAGATAGTCGGGACAACAACCCGACTATAGCGTTCTCTCTTGTTTTTTTTTAGTCTTCTTGGTTTGTTTGCTTTTCTATAGACTATTTCTTTGGCACTAACTAAAAGCACATATATGTTTAGATCTATATGCACCATCTATCTATTCAAAGAGAATCGGCATTTGTGCAGCATTCTCTGACAGCTGCCAAACATGTCAATCGCTTGACATATGGAAAGTCGACTTTGGCGCCACACAATGCAGCAGTGGATGATTCTTCTGGGTCAAATGCTTCTGTTTGGGGTATTGGCCAAACACGGAAGCACATAAATGGAATGCCAGAACGCTGTCTCCATTCGAAAATGTAAACAAAACAAACGTATCACATTTTACGCCAGTTGTGTCAATAGGTTGGATCACATAAAAAAAGAGAATAAAGAAAACATTTCGTTTGTCGCTAAGTCTATCACGAAGTGTTTTGTTAAAGATACGAGGGCATATATAATGCGATAATCAGATCTTTCACACCCAACACAATGTATTTTTTGTCACCAAGCATTAAGTGATGGGCCAAGAAAAGTGTGGTAAAAGCAAGTGCGTGACAAAGACTCGTTAAAGACGGGCTTAACCATTCTCAAAGCCCTGAGCAATTTCGGCATTCGGTTTTGTTTGAAAATACTCTTATTAAGAAAGGGGTACTTTCATTTTTGGAAGACTACATGACCTTAGTTTCAAATCATGCATTGGTTACATTTACATACATTTAGTTTAAAAAAAAACAATAGTTAATGTGTATAACAATGATCTTGGTTGTTAATTACAATTGAATTACAATTAAACAAAAATTTAAATAACTAACAAGTTTGTCCCATGACCTTAAATTTATCTTTTACCTGAAAAAGGTATTTCAACTTTACTCCACTGCCGAAACTTTTCTTTATAGTTTGTTTTGTCTATAGCTTCGTTTGTAGCCCCGCCCCCTAGCCGCGCCCTTCGTTTTTATTGGGAATACACTTGTTTCGTTACACTTGCTCACAAAACTTGATGCATGAAAATATGCTCAACTTTTGCTCTCGTATAATTGCAACAGTTTATGATTGGCGTTTCGAAAGTTTGGCATTTAAAAGATTTTCAAAACGAAACAGTTACCCAATCCCGCGAGAAATCATATTCGGGTACCCACCTTGTCCATTGCTATTGACGGCAGTGTTGGCTGATGTCAGGAGGATTTGACTCTCTAGCTCCTGCAACTCGGACTTGAGCTCGGCCAGTTTGCTTTTGCTCTTCTTGACAAGAACGGCCACATCGCTGAGGGATCGCCGATCCTTGGCCACCTCGCGTAGCTTCTCAGCCCCCTCCTTGATCTTTAGCTCCTTGCGGATCTCTCTCCGAATCGCCTCCTTGATCTCCTCCAGCCGTATGGACATACAGCTTTCGGGCAGATTCTCTGTGAAACCATATTTGTGACTGAGTTCGTACAGAACAGGATGCTTGATGTATTCGCCCTGTGAATGAGAACGAAAAACCAACTCTTAGTAAATCCTAGAAAGTAATAAGTATCATAAGATAAATTTAATATAAATTGTCAAGAGTATTTATCACCCCAAACAAATTACTGATAACAAAAGTAATGTGTTAAAAATTCATATTATTAATGTCCATTAGATTCAGAATGTTTACCTTCTTTTGTTTAAATCAGGTTTAATATTTTAGACTGAACTATATTTAACATGTAAACTTCAGTTAACTATGAAATTTTCTTTTTCAAAATAAGAATAACTAAAATATACCTATTTAAAAAAATAATAGAACGGAATGGAATGTTATGAAATCTCTGTTTTAGTCAGAAATATTTGTATTCTGCGTTTTTATAACTCACTTTTCCAGATATTTCATAGTTTGAACCATTAACCGAATCGGTGTAAAATATGGCACCGTCGTTACTGTCACCATCATTATTAAAGTCATCGGCATCTTCCGCACCAAAGACATTTGTGACCAGCCTATTCCACAAACCGCTGTTAGATCGTCGCGCTGTCGAATGTTTACTGTAACGGCGGGGCAGGGAGTGGCACTTCCTGCGAGCACCTCCACCCTCTGAAGTGGATATCGAGGTGGAGTCTTCGCGATCCCGCTGGCTATTTGGATTGATCATGCTGCGGATTCTCTTTACCAGCCTGGACATTATTCACTCGGATTTCTTGTTAAGTCGTCGGGTTTATTACCTCACTTTGGTCATTTTACAGCCGTTTTGTGCGCGCTGACAAGTTCACGGTAATTAGCTGGAACAGGCTGACCCACAAAAAACAAAATACACACACTTTTATTCACACGACTCCAACTGCCGTTTATCTAGAAAATGTTTTCCCTTCCTCCCCAGGTTCTTCTGACTTTTTGTGCTTCTTTTTCTTGTAGCTCAACAAGTTTCTTTGGCTTTCTCATTAAACGGTTCTCGATTGCTTCTGTCTGATAAGCACTCAATGCATTGCGGCCCGAAGCATTCGTTTCTTGGCCGGTAAAACTCGACAAAGGTGTCACTTGAAACAAGCGAACAACTCAACGATAATTGCTATGCAAATTGGAATTCTAATCGATCGACTTCAATTGAATGTCATCGTCTGCGCTACACTTTCACAACGAATTTTTATATCAGATATATTAGCCAATTTGTATGATAGGCGAAAGTTTGCTTAGAAAGAACTTCGATTGACAACAAGAATCACAAATAATCATAATTATTCTTAAGTCTTTAGATTGCGCGTTATTCTTATCCGTCATTCGTTTTCCAACTAAGTACTATATTAGAAGAAAACAAGAGGAATACCTCGACTACCAGATACCCGTCACTCATCTATCGGTAAAAACTTTAATTGGATCGCCTAGTGATCCTAACACATATAACATACTTTTCCCTCTTACTCTACGAGTACGGTTATAAAAAGTAGAAAAATATCCGACTGGGAATACATACTCAAATAGTAATCTAAGACGAAATTAAAATGTTTAGGCACTTAAAATTCTCTTATAAACTCTTTATTTAAGTTCAAGTTCATTCTTATCTGTCAGAAATGTATAAACTAATTTTTATGTTCTTGAAAACAACATATTTACTCGTTAATATGTTCCTCTCTTTTATTTCCACAAATTCTGTATTTAAGGGCGAATCGTTTGCACATATTTACACAATGAGCCATGGACAACAAAAGTTACCCAGTTGTGCTATCGATTGAATATGTTTATTTTCGATTCCTGTTGAAATCTACGGTCTGCAAAACATATGCATATATGTATGCCCAAACAAAGTGGCAAGTGCAGAGAGGTACAGAGTAAACACTTTTCAATAAACAATTGTTTATGGGAAACTCATTGTAAATATTTTTAAAACCGTACCAGCAAAAGTATGGCGAGCTTTGGTGGGAATTTTTCATTAAGGAATGTCGCGAATTGCGTTATCATTCTCTGAACTTTCGTTAACAGTGTGTATTCATTTTGTATTTAATCCACTGAGACTTTAAAAACTTTTTGTAATTCGTGTGATATTTGTATACCGAAACCACACCTAAACGCTTTGAATTATAATAGGTATCTTTGATTTATTTGCATGAAATATAAAGCCATTAAGAACCTAAAACTGTATATTTTGTTTTTTTTAAATAGATAACAAGCCCATTAGATTTTGGTTTTATCCACTTTTTATCAAGATTTTCTATCGATTTTATTTATTTGTAAAGCTGTTGCGACCCTGAAACTTGTCAGTTATTTCCTAAAGCGCCTTCTTATACCAATGAATGCGCCCCTGAGTTGGCAGAAAAATAATAAAAGAGTGCGTAACGTTTTCTTATCATAGAGCCGGGGAAACTGATAAGTTTGGCAAGAAACTTTGAATTCCAGAGCCTCTTGTTTACACCCACGGAAGTTGGCACACATTTTGAATCACTTTTTCACCCACACTGATTGAGTTTTATTTTTTTTGCAGATTTTTTTTAGGGCCGTTAATTGCACTATTTGAATGACTGGCACTTGAGATAATTATGTTAATATTGGCAACACTTGTTCAGATTAATAACCAATAATTAGGTGACACCACTGAGTCACCGCTATCGAACTCCGGTGGGAAATTGGAATTAACTACGCCCGTCTATAGCCCAACAGTTACTGAGAACATCCAAATATAACGAGCGGCTGGACTTGCACCGGTGTGTGTGGTTTTGTTAGGGGGAAAATCGAAAAACGAAAAACGAATCGTGACGAACGGCAACCGTTTAGCAGCAACAGGTTCGTTCGCCGTCCGATAAGCTCAAACCACGCAACTCAATTCGCTGCGAACGCAACCTTGGCTAATGACGAAACATTTAGCTCCTTTTGAAGAAGAGAAGATGGAGCAAGTACTTTTGATGGGATAATGCGATTTTAAGTCAATCCTGCTAATTGGCAATTAGCTTAAAATCCAAATCGATAGAGCCCGACGAACTGCATCAAACAGCCAGCTCGAACGAGCGAGTTGTAAGTGTAAAAAGCCATCCCACCCACATTCATTTATTTTTCACCCCACTTTTCTATTTAGACAGACGAATCATCAAGCAAATGCACAAAGTCATTGTGGTATATATATGGGAGGTTTCCTAGGCATAATAAATAAGGTATTGAAAATAATATTTTTAAACAAGAAAGTAAGTTATCCTCGGCAAGCACAAGTTTATATACCCTTGCAGTTAAAAGAAGAGAGAACGCTATAGTCGAGATACCCCTTGCTCAGATAAATGCATACAGCAAAGCGACTGCTTGCACTGCTTGATATCCATTATTTGATCATAACTTGTTAAAAAAAAGGTCCTTTTTAATCGTTTAAGGCGATTGAGGGGGAGTGACACTCTGATGAAACAAACATGCGCTACACCACACACACCGGTGCAAGTCCATCCGCTCGTTATATTTGGATGTTCTCAGTAACTGTTCGGCTACAGAGGGTCGTAGTTAATTCCAATTTCCCACCGTAGTTCGATAGCGGTGACTCAGTGGTGCCACCTAAAAAACCCCAAGAATCTGCATGGATAATCCCAAATTTCTAGCTTTTATAGTTCCCGAGATTTCATCGTTCATACAGACAGACAAAACAGTCATGGCTAGATCGACTCGGCTTCGTTCTACCTATTACATACTTTTATACGAATACAATACGAGTAATTTGTATAATTGGTATAATAAATTCTTATAATGCTCTGTCTCTATCCCTCTCGCGACCAAGATTCTAGTGCTCTAGTGATCCTCGACGAAACAAACTTGCTAGGAAGCCCAAGAATGTGTGTGGGAAATACCAACCTTCTAGCTTTTGTAGTATACGAGATCTCAGCGTTCATACAGACAGACAGACAGACAGACAGACAGATAAGTGGACGGACAGACAGACATGGCTAGATCGACTCGGCTAGTGATCCTGATCCTGATATATATACTTTATGGGGTCGGAAACGCATCCTTCTAGCTGTTACATACTTTTGCACGAATACAATATACCCTTTTACTCTACGAGTAACGGGTATAAAATTGAGAGACTAGTATTCTTTATGTGGTTGGAATCGTCTCCTTCACTGCGTTGCAAGCTTCTAACTGAAATTATACTACCCTCTTAACGAAGAGCGACCTTTTTGATGTTATAACCATTGGAACACCATGACATCTATTCGATATAGTGGATCGTCAGTAATTATACCCGTTACTCGTAGAGTAAAAGGTTTTATTGTATTCGGGGAAAAGTGTGTAACAAGTAGAAGAAAGCGTTTTCTTTTCTGACGTCGTCTGTATGAACGCTGAGATCTCGGAAACCCCAAAAGCTTGAAAGTTGGGACTAACCCCACATATCCTTGGGCTTCCTACGCAGCGTATGTTTGTTTCATCCGACTGCCACGCCCACTTGTACGCCCACAGTCGCTTTAAAGGACTTTCAAAAAATCCAGGCGCCCACATCTTTGGAGATTTTATAAAGGTGTAAATGTAATTTTGTTGTGTTTATTAATACAAATCCATTAAAAAGATATGAGCAAAAAATGAAATAGCCGCTATACGGCGTAAGTAGCTTTGATGACTGCATACACAGAGAAAATTATCAAAAGTTTTAGGTGCAAAATAAGGGATGAAACATTTTAAAAAGTAAAACGTTTCATCCAAATTTATTTTACTTTGCATTTTTAAAACGTTTTCATTATACCCTTGCAGAGGGTATTATGATTTCAGTCAGAAGTTTGCAACGCAGTGAAAGAGACGTTTCCGACCCCATAAAGTATATATATTCTTGATCAGCATCACAAGACAAGTCGATCTAGCCATGTCCGTCTGTCCGTCTGTCTGTTTCTACGCAAACTAGTCTCTCAGTTTTTGAGCTATCGGGACAAAACTTTCGCAAAAGTCTTCTTTCTATTGCAGGTAGTATATATGTCGGAGCCGACCGGATCGGACAACTATATCTTATAGCTCCCATAGGAACAATCGGAAAAAAAACTTTAAAAAATTCTAGCTTCCGTGTTTTTTGAAATATTACCTTCTACTTTTGGGGATGTTATTTTTTAAATATTTCTGAATTTCGAATTAATTATTTAAAAAATCGGACTACTATATCATATAGCTGCCATAGGGACGATCGGAAAATTAATGGAAAAGTAATAGGAAATAAATTCTAGCTTCTTTGGTTTTTATTGTATTATCTTGTACTCTAGGATATGACCCTTTTTAAATATTTCCGAATTTCAATTTTAATTTAATCAAAATCGGACGACTATATCATATAGCTGCCATAGGAACGATCGGAAAATTAATGGAAAAGTAATAGGAAATAAATTCTAGCTTCTTTGGTTTTTATTGTATTATCTTCTACTCTAGGATATGACCCTTTTTAAATATTTCCGAATTTCAATTCGGACGACTATATCATATAGCTGCCATAGGAACGATCGGAAAATTAATGAGAAATATTAGAAAATTGAACATTTTTGCGATTTGTTAATTAATAGGAATGATCTGCAAGGGTATATAAGCTTCGGCTGGCCGAAGCTAGCTCCCTTTCTTGTTTTTATTTTGAAAACGTTTTTATATGAAAACGGCACCTAAAACGTTGTATAATTTTCTCTGTGTATCTTCATCTCAGTCGCACTTCCTTTAGCTAAGTAACGGATATCTGAAAGTCCAAGTACTCGACTATAGCGTTCTCTCTCGTTTAATACAGAATATGCTCATTTCGGAATTCAGATATGGAATTTTTTCGGTCAACAT